TGGGGTTCTCCTAGCAGTTGACCTCCCCTCTACATATAGTCTAGAGTTCCTTTATGGTATGGAGTAAACTAAATTAGGTACACCATAGTATCCTACATATTGTGCTGTATGTTCAGTCTCAATTGCTGTTGTTTAGGCAGTGTCTCCTGCAGTACAGTGAACTAATGATGTTAACCCAAGGACAACAGGAGATTCAAGTGCCATACTGAAAAATGCTTCAGGGAGCATTTGGACTCAGCTGCTTGAGAGGAACAATCAGAAGCCTGCGAAACATAAAATTACCCTATTTCTCTATGCTAATGGCCTAAGTATAAAAAATATTTTAGACAATGATGTTAAAGTGCGGCTATAAGCCTACTGTTGAGAGGCTATTTCTCCTCAATATATACAGCCAGAAACAAATAAGCACACAGCTGTTTAGTCTGCATAACTAAGAGTAGGCTCAATTGCACAGAATGCAAAGATGACATTCTTTGTGACAAGGTGATCTACCATTCTGCCATCTCCCAGTATGAGTGGGTTCATGATTTTGATAGCTTGTGATAGTTATTCAATATCTCAACCATTATGAGAAAAGTATATATATGCCTCAATCCTTTAACAATTTTGGCCATCCTCAAAAGAATTGTAGGTTTAACCCAATGGTGAAGGTTGAAAAAAAGAAAAGAAAAGAAAAAAAAAAACAGAAAAAACTCTACGCTCAGGAGAACCGTGGCAGCACACAAACTGAGTGCGGGAGTTTGGTACATCAGGCCGAATCACTGGCTCAGAGCATTTTGGCGCGCCACCACGTCATACAGCCAAACGCCACATTTCGAACGGTTTATTTCCATGCCTATCAGCATTACCCCTCGTGAAGGGGTTAATCATAAACTGTGAACATCCTTAGTGTGAAAAAATGGATAGCTACACAAATGCAGAATACAAGGCAATCAGCTTCCTAGCCTTGAAAGAGGGGAGTTGCTGCTGACCATACTATATTAAGTATTCAAAGGACACCTTCCAAAGTTTATTTATAACGTATTCATGTTTATAAAGACTTCAATATCACTATAATTACTATCTTCAGTAAAGGGAATAAAAGTGTTCAATATCTTCTCAGTTGATAAGTATTTGCATATTTTCTTATCAAATAGACAAAAAAATCAAGATGAAGTATAATTGGATTTATATTGCTATTCCTAATATAGATAATGAAATAGCAGTTTAGCATCCAAGGGCCTGCATTTCCAGTAGTACCTGTCCAAATGAACTTTACCTGATAATACATTCACTACAAACTGTAAACCTTTTAGAAGGCAGGGAGTAGGTTGTCTAATGTCCTGCTTTCCCATGACAATTCTTCTTTTGTGTGTGTCTATATCTTAAGCCTAGATTTTTTTTTTTTTTTTTTTTTGAGACTGACATTTTCAAAAAAATTAATGCAATACAAATACTTCTGATACATAATTGAAGGAGACAATATATGAAAACTACAGGTAAAAAAAAATTATCAATAACATGACAATGAAACTTCAAACACGGAGAAAAAAGAGAAAACGGCTATTGCAGCAATATCATATAACAATTGATAATGATTATAACAATAACACACACAATGTTAATATTCTGAGTGATGATAATTTTACTAGTATCATAATAAGAGTAATAGCAATAATATGTAAATCAGAACATGTCAAAATAATAAAAATAAAAATATTAATAATCATAATAACAGTAAAACATCTTGAACAAGGATGCACTAATCAATAATACTCAGTAGTTGTACAAACAGTACAAGTGACAATGATTCCCATACTGATGAAATGATGAATGTAATGGTAAAAATAACTGTACTGCCTTAAGCAGCACAAGTTTCCAAATCTCCAAATCTTGTTACTATTCATGAGGAAATCAAGGCTCCCTACTCTTCTGCCGTTTAGCCTCCACACACACACAATACATGCAGACACGCAAGTGCCAAAATCCAAGAAGAGCCAGGGAGTTAAGTAATAATTACGAAGTTCAAAATGCACCACCTAAAGAAAGTAGGAATAAAATGTTATGATTAAAGAGGGATCCTATATCATGGTGTTACAGTATCAAATTTAAATTTGTCATTACTGAATCCTTAGATCTCAGCAGAGTTGGCCATACATGGCCACTTCTGGAATCAGAAGTTTATTATTAGAATGCCAGTATGCAAGACACAAAGTAAATGCTAACCTGTAAAAAGAACACTGACATAAATCTGATGCAGGCCAGTTTGTCTTCAAATATGTGCCCCATTACTAACCTTAGCAGCCTTCAATTGCTGCTCAATTTTATCCGCCTCAGCGTGCATACCCTGTGAGCGGTAGTACTCTATCCACTGTTGGGAGTAGTCTGTCATGCCGGCACCTGTCTGCTGAGCAGGAACTTGACCGTTGACAGGTACTGCTGCTGCTGCTGCTGGTGCTGCAGGAGCTCCTCCAAGCTGAGGTGGGGCACAGGGGACTGCCGCTGCCCCACCCAATCCTCC